CATCTTGAAAGTCATGATTAAAAAAAAACACATCAAACACTTCTCCTGATAGATTATGCACATGCCCATAACATCCCTTTATGTCTCGTGATGATCGATGCGGAAAAAGCATTCGATCGTGTTGACTGGCAGTTCCTCCAATTGTCTCTGCAACAGATTGGGTGAGGTCCTCAAATGCTAGCAAGGATATTATCCTTGTACTCTTCTCCATCTGCCAGAATCAAGATCAATGGCTCCCTGTCTCCAGCGTCTTCAGTCTGGAATGGCACCCACAAGGGTGCTCCTTATGCTTTCTTTTCGATGTACTTGCTATGGAACATTTGGCAGTAGCCCTACGGTGCAATCCCAACATCAATGGAATATCAATGGGCCCCCTCCATGCTAAATTGGCCCTATTTGCATATGGTCTTCTTTTTGTAACACAGCCACACATCTCACTACCCTGTATATTGCAAGAATTCCAAAAATTCGACCTGGTCAGCAACTTAAAAGTGAATTATACCAAATCAGAACTGCTGAACATCTCCTTAGCCTCGGAAGGCTTACAGCGAATTTCCTCCACATTTCCTTTGAAAAGTGGTTCCACCTCTATCAGTTATCTAGAAATTCAGATACCTACAGAGTTGTCCCAACTCTATTTGATGAACATTCTGCCTTTACTCCATAGGACTCAAGCAGACTTATCATCTTACGCCACCAACCAATTGTCCTGGTTAGGCAAAGTAAATAACTTGAAGACGGATGTTCTTCCCCGCTTTTTACATAGTTACGTAGTTAGTCTGGCTGTAAAAAGACAAAAGTTCATCCAGTTAAACCATTAAAAAAAAAAAAAAAAGTTATAATCCTATACCCACAGTTGATCCAGAGGAAGGCAAAAAAAAAAACAGCAAAGCATGATTCACTTTGTTCCTGCAGAGGAAAAAAAATCCTTCCTGATCCCCTTAGAAGCAATCTCTGGATCAACTTTATCTATAAATGTTAGTAACCAGTTATATTATTCTGTGTATCCAAGAAAGAATCCAGGCCTTTTTTAAAACAATCCACTGAGCTGGCCAGAACCAACTCTTGAGGGAGTCTATTCCACATTTTCACAGCTCTCACTGTGAAGAAACCTTTCCGTGTTTGGAGATTAAATCTCTTTTCCTCCAGACGAAATCTATTTCAAGCGATCTCTAGCCATCTCCCCTACTCTTTCTTTGAGAAATGACGCTGTCTATTTTCCACCTTCATCTAGAATACATGCCCCCCCTGGATTCATTTGACTATGCTCTCTCTTCTTAAAGTTAGGGGGGGAGGGAGCCCCAGATGCCTCTCTCTACCATAAAGCAGCTGTACTTACCTGAATCCTAGATTGGATTCATAATTTCATGTGTTCTTTTCCAAGCTGTACCGTGGACCTCACGTTCTTATAGTCAAAACCTTTCGGTCCTTAGCAATCTTAGTAGACATACTCTTCATATATGGGACCACGGGATGTCTACATATGGCCTTTCTAAATACGGGACCCTTGACCCCGTTCTTCGGGACCCCAGCTTTCCCCCGGCTCTCTCTGTCTCCGGATTTGGAGAATGGAACAAGACCACAGAAGACTTACCCAGGTCCTTCATGTGGACCCATCTCTGATGTCTATTTCTTTCCTTCTCTTCCTGTTATTTTCACTTCGCCAACAGAATTTGAATCCATTTTATTACAATCCGAACCTCCCACCCATGTAGTATCTCAATTATATTCACTTCTTCTAAGTGCATCATCTCCTGATTTTCCTCCGTATACTCACGCCTGGGAAGAGGGCTTGCAACACTACATTCCTCCTTCGAACTGGCAAAAGTGTTTTATTTTGACCCACAAACTCTCCCTGGCAGCCAAAACTCAGGAAAAAGGGTTTAAACTAGTAACTAGATGGTATAGATGCCCGCCGATTCTCCACCAGTTAAACTCATCCATCCCAGATACCTGCTGCCATTGCCAGCACTCATAGAGCACTATGCTACACATTTGGTGGACCTGCCCCCGTCCGGAAATTCTGGTAACGTATTTTAGATATATACAGTAAACTGATGGCAACATCTGTTCATCCCTTTCCTGAGATAGCCCTTCTCTCCATGATGCCGGGACCCCTTAAATCGGTAAAAAAAGGACATGATGAGACACTTTGTGGCTGCAGCCAGGGCGGTCATCCCATGCCACTGGAAATCAACTAATGTGCCCTCCCTTGGGGAATGGGCCAACAAACTAGAATCTCTACATGACTTTAAACACCAGTTGGCGCAGGAAAGGAGGACCAGCTCTCACTTACCTGGACCTCCTGGTCCATATTTCGATACTCTTCTGAGTTCCATTCAAGGGTTGACAGTGATACCGATCCCTAATCTGTGTAGCCATGGTGGAGCGTACCTACTATTTTTTTCCTTTTTTCTTGTTTTTAACTTCTCTCCCCCTTTATCCCTTTGTTTCTCCTCTCATAATAATATATAGTCAAATGCATTTAACATCACTTTTCTACAATCTGAGACATGTTCCCATTATCCCTGACTTTTATGTGTTCCAATGGAGCCATAGAGCCTACTATTTATGTATTCATCTATGCTCATAAAATTGCTCACATTATGGGTGCTTTGTGCCCTTTCTCAAACTTGTCTATCCATGTTCATACAAAAACTGTAAGTGATATCATCCTGACAAAGCAAAATGTTGCCCTCATCTTTGTCTTTACCTTTTCACCATCATTTGTTGTGAGCTCAATACATTTATACTTTTTTATACTACAGTATGTGTATCCAAAACTGAAATAAACTCAGTTTGAACTAAAAAAAAAACACATCAAGCTATAAAAATTATTAAATAACAATTCATTCGATATCCCTAGGGAACCAAAAGTTTTACAAATATCTCAAATTTATATATTCATGTCCGACAATAGATGTAAAAATATATGTGCATAATTTCATATACACTGCTCAAAAAAATTAAAGGAACGTTTTTTAATCAGAGTATAGCATCATGTCAATTAAACTCCTGGGATATTGATCGGGTTAGTTAGGCAGCAGAAGAGATTGTTAATCAGTTTTAGCTGCTTTGGTGCTAATGAAATTAAGGACAGGTGCACTAGATGGGCAACAATGAGACAACCCCCAAAACAGGTATGGTTTTACAGGTGGAGGCCACCGACATTTGCTTCCCTACTCATCTTTTCTGACTGTTTTTCACTAGTTTTCCATTTGGCTAAGGTCAGTGTCACTACTGGTAGCATGAGGCGATACCGGAACCCTACAGAGGTTGCACAGGCAGTCCAACTCCTCCAGGATGGCACATCAATATGTGCCATTGCCAGAAGGTTTTCTGTCTCCCAGCACAATCTCAAGAGCATGGAGGAGATTCCAGGAGACAGGCAGTTACTCTAGGAGAGCTGGACGGTGCCATAGAAGGTCTTTAACCCATCAGCAGGACTGGTATCTGCTCCTTTGTGTAAGGGGGAACAGGATGAGCACTGCCAGAGCCCTACATAATGACCTCCAGCAGGCCACTGATGTTAATACCTCTGACCAATCAATCAGAAACGGACTTCATGAGGGTGGCCTGAGGGCCTGACATCCTCTAGTGGGCTCTGTGCTCACTGCTCGGCACAATAGAGCTCAATTGGCATTTGCCATTGAACACCAGAATTGGCAGGTCCGCCACTGGCACCCTGTGCTTTTCGCAGATGAGAGCAGGTTCACCCTGAGCACATGTGATAGATGTGAAAGGATCTGGAGAAGCTGTGGAGAATGTTATGCTGCCTGTAACATCGTTCAGCATGACTGATTTGGTGGTCGGTCATTCATGGTCTGGGGAGGCATATCCATGTAGGGACGCACAACCTCTACATTCTAGACAATGGCACCCTGACTGCCATTAGGTATCGGGATGAAATCCTTGAACCCATTGTCAGACCCTGGTGCAGTGGGTCCTGGGTTCCTCCTGGTACACGACAATGCCCGGCCTCATGTGGCAAGAGTATGCAGGTAGTTCCTGGAAGATGAAGGAGTTGATACAATTGAATGTCCCCCACACTCTCCTGACCTAAATCCAATAGAACACATCTGGGATATCATGTTTCGGTCCATCCAACGCCACCAGGCTACACCTCAGACTGTCCAGGAGCTCAGTGATGCATTGGTCCAGATCTGGGAGGATATACCCCAGGACACCATCTGTCGTTTCATTAGGAACATGCCCCAACGTTGTCTGGCATGCATATAAGCACTTGGGGGCCATAACAACTACTGAGTACCATTCTGAGTTGCTGCAATGAAATTTCAGCAAAATGGACAAGCCTGCTGCATTATTTTTTCACTTTGGTTTTAGGGGTGTCTATAAATTCAGTCCTCTGTAGGTTGATAATTTTCATTTCCATCAAACGATGGGGAATCCTTATGTTCCTAACACATTACCCAGTCCATATCAGTATAGATATCCAGTATGATATTTTTCCCATTGAGATCTGATGTGTTTTGAAAGTGTTCCTTTAATTTATTTGAGCAGTGTAGTAATATAATTCTAAATATACAATATCAATATAAAATACATAAATAAGGAAACATTCATTAGAAATTAAAATCAATAATTCAAAAACCAATATTAAAAATCACAACAAAGGGACAATATTAGCTATTGTTAATAAAAGCATTGATATCTCAGTGGATGTTTTAAACCTAATGGAGAATAATCCTTCAAGTTATAAATTAATTTGGTCTCCAAATGAGACACGTCCTTCCTTGGGGCGCTACCACTCCAGTGAGTGATAAATGTATATATCCCCATAGATGGTACCAGAGGGGTATTTGTCATGTGCCACGGCATAGTGTTTGAAAACACTATGTTCCGTGAATCTCCTTCAAATGTTATCAATGTGTTTGTCTAAACAAACACTAAGTGCCGTGTAGTCTTACCAACATATTGAAAACCACATGGATATTGTAACTTGTACACTACATGAGTAGATGAACAAATTATAAAGAACTGGATCAGGAGCTGACTGACCATTTGGAGGGCCCGGGGTCAGTAGGGGGCCCCATGAGATGCCCCTGGTACCTTTTTCATAGGCTTTTTTGAGTTTGGGCAAGGACACAGGGGCCCCATGATCCCTATTGCCCAGGGGCCCCATGAGTTGTCAGTCCACCCCTGAACTGGTTATAAGTTCTAACGGTAACTGAGGAGGCAAAGGAACAGATTTATCTGTCCCAGCAATGATTAATATGACAAACCTGACACTTTCTAGATGGGCAAAACAATTTTTTTTAATGAAAAAGGAAGACCTGACTGGTTTATCCAAAACATAAGGGGCAACCTTCTGCTTCAGACTTGCCTGTCACTACCTCAACTATGGGCCAGTCTTGACTTATCCTCAGTCCTGCCTTCTGCCTTTTCATATTTGGGATTCTCAGCAACCAAGCCTCACCCTATGGAAATTACATCTGTGCAAGATTTTCCACCCATCCCTTGGACAGACTGCCTCATTCAACCAAGTGGGGTCCTCTTCCTTATCTGTAAGCCACCCTGCATCCAACCTGTGCTCCAATGACCCAGCTTAACCTAAACAATATGCCACCTGCTATTTAGCCTGGCATTACTGGTTCCTGTCCACAATCCAGTTTGGCCCCACAGAGTCTTTGATGGCTAATCAAACTGACCTCCCTGATCCCCTGACCACTGCCCAGCCTGATGACTAATGGGATCCAGTCCCCGCCTATACTGCATACTGATGGGGTTCAACCTGCCTCTATGCTTGCCAATGGGATTCAGCCTGCCACTGGTGCTCTGCTGTCAGCTGCCAAATATGCCTCTGGTTATCTTCTATACTCTGTCAAGCTTGCCTCTGATGCTGCTTTGCCTTTTGCCCAGCTTAATGGTCCTGTGTCTGCTGTTCAGCCAGAGGATCCTGTTCCTGATGCCCAGCCTGAGGGTCCTGTTCCTGATGTCCAGCCTAGTGGCCCAATACCTGATGCCCAGCTGGAGGGTCCCATGCCCAATGAACCACCTGCCTCTGATGGTCCTGTGCCCAATGACCCACCTGCCTCTGTCAGTCCTGTGTTTGATGGCCTGCCTGCCCCTGACAGTCCTGTGTCCAAAAACCTGTCTGCCTTTGAGGGTCCCATGCCTGATGATCCGTCTGCCTCTGGTGGTCCTGTGCCCAACAGCCTCTGACGGTCATAAACCTGATGACCTGCCTGACCTTGCTGATCCTGTGTCTGCTGCCCAGCTGGAGGGTCCTGTATCTGCTGCCCAGCCGGAGGGTCCTGTACCTGCTGCCCATCTGGAGGGTCCTGTTCCTGCTGCCCAGCCTGATGGTCCTGTTCCCACTGCCCAGGGTGGAGCAGTTTTTGTCAAACCAGATGTGGAAGGTCTGGTTGTGATGGGACTCCCTGGCATCAGGGTAATTGCATGGGATTCTGATGTTAGGCCTTCAGCTGGCTTTTGGGGTCCCAATGTTGGGACATGTGCTGTATAGGAGGCATGAAGATTTCGGATGTTGCTCCTTTTCAGGGGTCCAACCTGTGGGGAACCCAGACAGTTTTTGGACCCCGCAAGGTAACCGGTCAGCTTCCAGACCCTGGCAGTGGGGTGCATGACCAATTACCAGACTCAGGTTCCAGCGTGTTAGAAGAAACTGGCCTGAAGAGTGCAAGAGAGTCCTTTTTGAACTTATCCTGCACCCACATGGACTGTCAGATGGAAGGAAGCATGGAGCGTCTGGAGGATGCTCCTCAAGTGGGGGGAACTGTCAGGATCTGTGTCATTACTTGGGTCACCTGCTGGTAGCACTGTTGTTCCTGGAGTCAAAGGGCGTAGTTCCGGTGGCCACCAGCTGGTATCTCCCAGCAGCTGGAATATACAGGTAATTAAGCTGCACCTGATGCAGACTGCTGGGGTGTATATAAGCCCCCCCATGACTGCAGTTCAATGCTTCAGTATACTTCTTGCAAGCCATGTCCTTGCCTGAGCCTTATCCTGACCTTGAAACCTGATCTTGTGACTTGCTTCCTGTACCCTGGTTCCTAATTTCTGTTCCCCTTGTCTCCCACCCCTGTCCTGACCTTGTCCTGGCCACATGTGCTCCCTCCCTTTTTTAAATGTTTAGGTTATTTTGGGGGGGGGGGGGGGGGAATTGCACTGTCACGTTTCTTTGTCCCTTGCAATGTTTATGGTTTACTGGTGTTGGTGTAGGAAGTGTGTCATTTGCCTTAATAAACATTTCATTTATTATTATTATTATTATTATTATACAGTATTTATATAGCGCTAAATGGTTTGCTCAGCGCTGTACATTATAGTGGGGGACAGCACATGAGACAATACAGTAACAAAACAAAACACCAGGGGGTCAAGGGCCCTGCTCTTTCGAGCTCACAATCTAGGAGGGAGGGGACAGTGGTACAGGATTTTTTTTTTAATTTTTCTTTACAAACTATTTTATTAGGAAGGATAAGATAAGGTACAATCAAACAGAATACATAAACTTATTTTAGCCTTATCCAGTCTGGTTCCTGATTCCTTAAAGTACTGTACAGCCAACTGATCTGATCATCCTTGATGATGCCTGCATGTGGCATCCTGACAGTCAGTGAACAGTCCATGAGCTTGTTTTTTTTAAATTTTATACGTTTAATAATTGTTTAGCAAAATGTATGTATTTTCAAGTTTGAGGCAAAGCAATCAAGTTGAGGCCAGCGATGTAAATGCTTCCCAGAGCAGTGCAAGCCTGGCAGTGCTGTATGCTGCTCTAAGCCTGACTCAAGCTTTGGTGACATTGGCCTCAAGACACACTTAGCTGCAGGCAAGGGTCAGATGAACGTTTCTGACTGAAGCCTTGATAGAAGGGCTTTTGTCTTTCAGAATGTTGCATGGTCACACCAAGCTGACATATTTAAATCAGTCTCTGCCACTGGTATGACTCATCCTTTGAGGCTCCCATAGCAGATCTGTACATTATTTAAGGGCACTGCTTAGGCACAATTAAAGCGTATGTCAAAGCAAAATAGAAAAAAAAAGTATGCGGTACATCTCTGAAATCCATTCACATTTCCCATGTTATATTGCTTTAACCTTTTTGCTGTTTTTGCAGTTTTTACATACAGGTTTAAAAAATAATTTTAGGTCAGAAGATAAGGTGAAAGCCTTAAACAATATGCATTTTCTGAAAGCAGAGACCCTGTACAATAAAATGGCGGTAGTTCCAATTATTTATGTCAAAAATTCAAAAAATTAGGTTGTGCAAAATAATTAGATAGCCTGTTGTGGGTTGATAACACAGCATTTTTGTCAGAATTGCCCATTGACTTTTGATAACCTTCTTAATGACTCCTACTCCCAGGCTAATCACTCTGTAGTCCAAAATAAAAACTAGGAGGGCTCATTTGAGATAATGCTGGAAGTGAGCAGAGGGCACAAGACAGCTCTGAATTTCTGACATAAGCACCAGATTGTTTTTTTGCACTAATCAAATGGATATAAAAAAATGCTTCCAATGGTGTAGTAAGCATACCAAAAATAACAAATAAGAGTGACTCATTTCAGGGTTTACATGCAGTTTCAAATTTCTAGATGTTCACTATCAAATCCTTTTTAAAAGTAGACTCTGGTTAGCTATGGCATAAGTAAACTCACCTCCCCATATTGCTGCACCGGCGCAAAAAAATTCACTGTGTCTTCTTCTAGGTTCAGGATCTTCAGCCACCTTGATTGGCTGGGCTGGAATGATGTAACTCCCACACATGTGCACAGGAGTTCATTCATTCCAGCACCGAGGCATGGAAAAAATGTACACTGAGCTGCATGAGCACAGCTCAGTGCACATTCTAAAGAAGATTGCAAACAGGCAGACAATGTTTTTTTTTTTTGTAGAAGAGACAGATCATAAAATAGACTCAACTGCTCACAAATGTTTCTTTTTTGTAGTTTATTTCCACTTTAACAAACTGGCTCAGGGTTCAGCGGCCTAAGTGTTAGAGTAACACAAAATAAAACCCACCATGTACAGTACATACAAACAATCATGAAATACATAGGTGGGAATTAAAGTGGTATGAAACCCAAAACCAAAGATGGAAAATATTGTAGCTTACCAATCATTAGATGTGGTGGCTGCATTAGTTTTGTTTTTTTGTCTTTTTCCCCCTCTTTTTTCACCTGGTGACCTGGCCAGTAACACACCTCCTATATTAGCGTGCCACCACTCTGGATAAAGGAGAACAGGGGGTACATTTGAACAGAAGCATTCTCAGTCTAGGGGGAGGGGAGTGTTAGATGTACGAACTGGTTTAAATACACTAACAAAACTGAAGCCAAACTCAAGCTCACACTTTATAACCAGTTACAGAAATTTTTTTTACTATTTGGGATAAAAGTTTTACATAAATAAATAAAAACCGACCACTGTAAGCACACCTGCTTGTGGTAAATGATTTGTCTCATCTCTGTAACTGAAATATTCTGCTGGAGAGTTTGTTCTTTTGAAAATCAACAGACTTACTGGCTGGATCACCAATTGAAAATAGAAGAAAGATGGCTAAAAAAGAAAACTGATGCAGCCATCACATCTAAAAATTGGTAAGCTGCAATATAATAATTATTTGCTTTAGGGGTAATCCCATTTTAAGATATTCAGTCAAGTGCACCCTTTCACCCTTAGATTTTGGAGGGTACCTTGAGGGAGACAGAAATATGCATAAACACCCTTGGAACTATTAGCTCCAAAAAGGAAAAAAAGTGCCTCTAAGTGCAGTATGCGGTACATTTATTGAAGAACACAATAAGAAACACTCACATGATGGAAAGAGAAACAAAAGGCTTTGGCATGTGTAGTGAGAATGGAGGACAGGACAGCGTCCTTGATGTAATAACCATAGTCAGTGCTTTGGGAGACTCTGGATGTTCACAAGAAGCCGGCCGGCTGCACTTACAGGCGCTTTTTTTCCTTTTTATGTCTTTCCCCAGAGCCTGCTACAGCTACATGAGCTTGCCCTAGCAGGGGCAGACTGACAACACATGGGGCCCCCGGGTAATAGGGGATCATGGGGCCCCTGTGTTCTTGCCCAAACTAAAAAAAGCCTATGAAAAAGGTACCAGGGGCATCTCATGGGGCCCCCTACTGACCCTGGGCCCTCGGGCAGTGCCCGAGTTTCCAAATGATCAGTCCACCCCTGTGCCCTAGTGATATATGGACTTATTTTACATGTCATTTGGACTTTATTATCTACTTTGTTCAGTGCCCACTG